AGTGCTGGGAATGGGAGCAGGAGCAAAGCCAGCCCCAGCCGCTGCAGGACACAAAGGACTCCACCTCTGACGTCCATGCAGAGCGAGACCACGGAGGTGCAGTGCCCGACAGGGCCAGGGAACAATGCCGAGGAGATGGAGAGCGAGGCTGCAATGGAGTCGGCTTGCCACGGTGCTGCACCAGAGCTGGTGCCGGGATTGCACCAGGAGCGGTACTGGTGTCCGGGCCGGTGCCCAACAATGTCCCACACTCGGTGTTGGTGCTGGGGCTTGGACAAAGGCTGGTGCCCCATGTGCTCGATCATCTCGATGAGGTCCCTTGCCTCCTCAAGTGTCCAGTGTCGAAGGGAGGTCAAGCTCCTCTTCCAGGACTTCTCGCCTGAGGAGTCCGACGCCGGAGTCGATGGCCCTGTGCTGTCCTTGAGGTGTCCTGCCGAGGGACGCCCCAGGGAATGGTGGATGCTGGAGTCCAGCTCCGACTTGGCCTGGCCACCTTGTGCAGCACTGGAGATGGGGTTGAGGGGCGTTAGAGTTAGTTCTTAAACCCCCTCCGCATGCCCCAGGGGGAAAGTTGAAGAGAGAACAAAAGGGGGGAGAACCCCCAACGAAAACGATCAGCTCGCTCTCGACTCAACAACCTCCAGTTCTAGTGTTCAACACTTCTATGAAGAGCAACCACAAACAGGAAAAATGCAGCTAGGGTCGTCTTGCAGAGCAAGAGCTCCAATGACCGTCACTGGTGGAGAGAAGGAACTGAGGGGGGGTGCAGCAGCCGCTCCACGGGCTCCACAGCCGACCCCAAGGGTCCAGCTAGGGGAACAGCCTTCCGACAATCGCGCATGCACACTCACTGGAATGGACATGAGCATCACTCAAAGAGCTACCCAATTAGGGGATCCTGAAAGGTCTATTAGGTACCCAGCTCACGGCTGCCCTGCACCATCCACATCCATATTCTCTGGCTTGCACTCACTTCGAGGCATGCTGAGCCTGGAATTAACTGGCCACCAGTTAACACACGACAATCTGCTTCTCTGAGCTGTGTCTGTTGGCTGATCCCAGTGACCTCAGTGCAGACACACCCCAGCGAGTGGGGGGGAGGTTTGCCCCGGGTCCCATCTCAGCGCGGGCGTGCTTCCTCCAAGCAGCCCAGCATTTACCTGGAGACTCCCACAGCTGTCAGACCAAGCCTCTCCCAGGGGTTTCGCTGAGGCTGGATGCTCCCTTGTCCAGCACTTAGATAACAGCACTCTCTGCCCTCCACTGGCCCCCTCCTCACAGGAGGTCTCTCCAGCTCACCACCATGCACATGGCTATTAGCAGCCGTGTACCAGGCAGTCTGAGACACAAAGACTTGGCCCAGGTGTCGCAGCAGGTCAGCTGCTGAGCCAGGAACGAACCCAGACAGGGAAGAACCCCAGGGAAGCCCCTCATTACCCAGACCGACCGCTCTCTCCCTCTGCCAGGCTACTTCTCCCTGCGAACTCAGGGCCTCTGCCCTCGCCCAGCAGGTTTCTGAAGTAGTCCAAGCAGATGCAAGTCAATCCCAGTAGTGGAGCTGATTAGAGCCCTGCCGAAATGCACAAGGCATGACCTGTGCTTCTACAGGAACTGTCCATGGGCATTAAGACAATGAACTCTGGCCTGACCCAGCTCTACGTCACACTTCCCGCTCCAGCCCCCCTCAGAACACCGCCCGGAGTTAGTCTCTGCCTGGACGTGCCAGAGGGCTGCCGAGCTTTCTGATTAAGTATCAGTCAGGCCCATGTGTTGAGGGCACCTCGGGGCAGCTATTTCTCAGCCCTTCACCCAGCCCCGGGAAACCAGCGCCTGGCTCAGCTGACGAGAGTTCTGCAAACCCGAGACTCCAACCCAGCGGAGGCAGCGGCCCCACCCCCGAACGCTCCCGACTCTCTAGTGTGCTTAGTCTCTAAGGGCCACTGCACCACTTGCTGCTTTGGATGTTGACCTCCAAGGCAACATAACTGATGTGACTGGGAGGGGGCTCACAGTGACTGACACGCAGCCATCCCCCCACCTCGAGGAGCCAGCCACGGCCCAGGCACGCTGGGACAATAACAGGCCACGTCATGCCGGCAGACAGCCTGAAACTGACCTGGACTAGAGGGCTGAAGGCACCCAGGCTGACAAGCTGGGAGAGCAGCGACCAAGCATTTAAAGGGCAAACAAGATGCCTGAGGAGTGTCCACAGGTGGAAATGACTGGGAAGAACAACATGGTGCAGATCCACGTTCCCTCTAACCGCTTCCATCCCCACTAACACTGCCGGCTGTGGGTGCTCTACCAATCAGCGGGGCCACATCTCCCCAGCTCCCAGGGAACCCTGGGGAACTGGCCCAGGACATAGGACCACGCCCACCGCTGCAGCCTGAAGGCCCCTGCGGTGACAACAGCTCTTCAAGTGGCTCTGAAGCCCCTTCTCTCTGAAGTCCCCCGATGAAGGAACAAGGCAAAGGCCAAGCCAAAGCCGCCTCCGGGGGCTCCCAGTGGGAGGCAGCCTGGGGTCGCCGTCTCAGAGGAGCAGGCTCTAGGCTGGAGAGCAGTAGAGGCCCAGTCGCCGGCTGCACCCCCACAGGGAGGGTCACCTGCACTAGTGCCCCCCAAAACAGGGAACTCAACTGTGCACTCAGACCGACCCCATCACAGTCAGGACAAACATCGCTCCCCAGGGGCCTTATCCCCCAGCTCCCGGATTCACCCTGGAAAGTAGCTGGGACCAGCCTGACCCATCTCTCCCTGTTTCCAGGCCCCACCACACACTGACAAGTACCATCATCTCCTCAGCAAACTCCATCCCTGCCTGAGCTGGCAGGCTGCATGCTGGTGGCTTGGCCCCCGCCCCCGCCCCGGAAACGGCTGACAACGCGGTGCAGAAAGTACCGGCAAAGGGAGCGGGGGAAATTCCACAAAGGGCACTTAGGAAACATTCAGTTAGAATTCAGCCCAGGGCAGCTTCCTCCACCCCCTTCTGCCATGCCACTCTCCCTGAGGACTCTGCAGAAAGTCTGCATGTGTCCTATCCAGCGCTGGTTCTAGGCTGGCTCGGACGCAGTGCAGCTGCTGCAGTGCTCACGCTCACTGGAGGGACAGAGGAGGGTCTTCCAGTGCCGTGGGAAACCCACCTCTTCTCAACCCAGTGGTGCTTCCATGAGGGCTTGGGTCAGCCGAGTGACATTGCACAGGGTGGGAGACTGCTCACAGCCCTGAGTGATTCCATTAAGGCGACAGAGCTCTGTGGTGCAGGCCGGCCCCACTAACCAACTTCCATTTCCCCAGGCCTTGCGCAGCCTGAGTTTGAAACCTCTCAGTCCCCCACTGCAAACACTGGGCCCGCCTCCACATCTGGGCAGCACCTGGCAAGACACTGTGATTTAAGGGCTAGAGTAAGGAAAGTCACGCACGGCAGAGGAACCAAATACCGAAGCCTTGGCATGCTGCTAATCCCTCCTCCCAGGGATTCCACCGACGGAAATAGCGCCGCGAATGTGACCCATGAAAAAGGCTACTCTAGGGCAGTAGTTCTCAACCTCTCTGATACCAGACGCTGGCCTGCTACTTTCCTTTGGCCAAAGGCAGAGGAGACGTAG